TTCTAATGGTGTTTGTAAATAGGATCACAAGTCCGCATCTTGTACAGCAATTAACCACTAAGAAGAATATATGCAGTGTATTATTTGTTGAAAAAAAAATAAAAAAATAAAGAATCTCTCTGAAACCTGAAAAAAGAGATTTAGTGCATGGGGCTAGAAAGAGAAGTCCTAAGTGATCTAGTTGTTTGTGTTAGGGTCGGGTAGCAATGGGAAGGACCAGCGTTAGCCACTGACACACGGGTATTCCTGAGATCCTTGCATCTCCAGTGGTTTCATCAGGGTTTTCCTTTTCTAGAAAATACCACCTGAGCCTAAAAGCATTTCCTGAGGCTGCAGGAAACAATTCCACCCTTCCTTTTCTTTGCTCAGCATCAACACATTTATAAAGCACCTTCACATTCCTTATCTCTTTTGTCCTAATAGGTAAAAATCCCAAATTGCAGCTTGAGGAATTTATGGCTGAGAAGCGGCTGGTGAGCAGAGGGCTGTTCACACTTGTCTGCTTTTTGATGCTTTTTCCTCTTGGCTGAGGTCTGCATCAGTGACCTGTGGGCTAAATCCTACCAGTGTTCTGTTTTTATCAAAAAGATTTTATAAATAGATGCTTGCTCATGGCAGTGGCAGAGTCGAGAAGTAGCTACAGGTACAGTATGTTATGCTGTGATATTCCTATAATAGTCCATGCCTGGCCCTTTAATGAAAAAGTCCACCAACCCAGAGGGCCTCTGAAGCCAAGTGGTCCTGCGTGTTCCATGCTGCAGCTACTTTCTTGAACACGGGGCAAGGTGCTTGAGGAACCCTGCTTGCTCTGCAGTCAGCAACGGGAACTCGTAACCACGAGGACATTGCAGCATCTTGTCCCAAGTTAGCAGGCTGGGTTAACTCAGCCCTTATAGCTGCAGTATAAAATCACATCACACGAACGTACCCACTTGGACGGTGATCACTGCCAGTAATGAAGTGGTCACGGGTACAGGAATGGGTGATTCAGCAGAGTGCATTTCTGCAGCTTTTTCTTGGGTTCTGATGAGAAGACCATTTTCGAGAAGCAATGGTGGTTTTCCTTCAGATGTGCTTATTGCATAACAGGAAGTTTGGGGTGAGTTGCAGTGAGCTGGAGAAGTGTTCTGGTGGTCTGTATGGTTTTGCTTCCAGACTGCTCCTGCTTTCTGTGTCTCGTGTGGGTGTCACCCATGGCCCTGTCTGCTTTCCACCCTCAGTGTCATGGCCCCCTCCACCACACTAGTGCTCCTGTGTCTTCTCTGAGGAAACTTCCGGTTACTCCCTTAGCTTCCTGTAGAAATGACCCACAATGAGGTGGAACTTGCAGATCCACTGGCATCGCAAGGGGCTTTCTTCTTTACTTATCTTGCTCCTCTATTGTGCCAGTTGTTTTGTTTGTATTTATTTATTTATTTATTTATTGTGGTACTGGGGATTGAACTCAGGACCTTATGCCAGGTAGGTGCTTATGCCACTAAGCTATTTTCCTGGCCCAGTGGTTTTGTTTTTAAACTCTGTACTCTAGGGTTGATTTGTTTTCTTAGATAATCTCTGCATGTCTTTTGTTGTATTTTTAATGACTTGGTACATTGGCAGGTGCTACGCAAGGCAGTAGAAGAGCCATTTCTTTGAATTCCTTCCCACCTGAAGTGTTCGTGCTGCCTGTGGACACAGAAAAGGTGAATGATGTCTTCTTTTTAATACCAGTAATCTTAATCCCTTAAATAGTGTTCTTTTGATTTAAACTTAAAATTGTTGCCTTGAGGCGACACAGTGAAGGGGTTTCCTTTCAGGGGTCTGCTTGGTAGGGGCTGTAATTAGTCATAGATAAACCTGAGAAAGTTTTCAGGCAAGGTCGGCTCACCTGGAGTTTTTTATTTTTTATTTTTCTAGTATTGGCAATTAGACCCAAGGCCTTCACACTGAGCTATATACCAAGCCCATTTTTTTTTCTTTTATGTTGAGACAGGGTCTCAGTAAGGTACTGACTTGCCCAGCCTTGGCTTCCACTTGCAATCCTCCCTTTCACTTGCAATAATCGACCTCCCAGAGTGCTGGGATCCCAGACACGTGCCACCATGCATGGATGGAAAGTTGTCCCTGACTGATGGATGCTGTGTGCTTCTGGCCTGCCACCACTTTATGGTTATTGCAAGAAACTCAATGTGGATGTCTGTTGGCCACATCGGGATGAAGCTTTGTCTCTGAGTGATGCGCACTATGAGTCCTAACTCAGTTAAATGAAAATTGAGATTTATGTATATTAACTTCAGTTGCATGGAAATTCTTGATTTTTCAAATCTGAAATATTCTCCATGAGAAAAACTTGGTTGTGCTAATGAGTACCTTAACTGATTTTTTTTTTCTTGCAGGAAAATGCCCACTTTTATGTTGCAGATATGATTATAGCAGAAATGGAGAACATGAAGTGGAACATTCTCAACCAGCAGCAGACCCGGATCTGGGGCACAGACAAAGCCAGTGGGTCACCTGGGGATGATCAAGCAGACCCTGAAGCCACCTTGGACACCCACATGGAGCGAGAGTCTGGGTCTTCCACTTCTTCAGACAGTGGCTGTGAAGGCAAGTTGGACAGAGGCAGCGTCACGGCTTGTGCTTAGATGGCCCCACAGCTGCACACATTTTAAGGCCTTGTCAGAGGTGGCTGGAGTGTGCAATGCTGGGGTTAAAGGGGTGTGAGCGGTGAGTGTGTCCATTCATCGCTTTGGCATACTTCTGGCAGGACTGAGGATGTGAGTGCTACACCTGCCCTGGGGTGGGTAGCCTGCACACAACGTAAAAGACAGAAGGAATCTTGACTCTTGCTTTTGCTATCTTCTGCCACCATGAACAGTTGCCCCTCCACTGTGTGACACCCTGCCTTCGAGCCGATAGATTATGGGCTGAAAATGTGAGCTATATGAACCAAGAAAAATAACTAAGACAGCTGAGAAGGTTCTATTCTTCACATACAGAAGAACTTCTATTCTGTCAAGTCTTAACATATGTATATCCCTAGATCTTTGTCTAAAATTTCTTATCTGGGTGTGGGGTCACAAGCCTGTAACAGGCTGAGGCAGAAGGATCCCAAGCTCAATCCAGTTGTCTACTGCTTGGGCAATTTAGTGAGACCTTGTCTCAAAATGACATAAAAAATAAAATAAAGCTGGTGATGTAGCTTGGTATGAAGGGCTTGCATCAGTCCCCATGACCACATACTTGCATATGAATGTAACTTCCTTTCTTATTGAGTAATCTATGTAAACCTTACCATTTCTTGGCCTTTTTGTCCTGAGGGGTTTGGTTATCATACTTCACCCATCTTTCAAATTCTATGCTTTGTTTTCCTTTGCACTTTGTTCTTCTTGCCTTTTTGCAGTGACTGCCTACCTCTTCTTTTGTCTTGACACACATTATTCTTGTAGCTCTCCATTCACATTCTTTCCTTTTCTGAGTAGATTTCTTTCATTCATCAACAAGCAGTGAGTCTATGATGGGCCTGCTAGGAATGGGTGGTACCCAGGATGTATGCCTTCTCTCCAGGAGTTTGTGCTGGCACAGAGGCCAGTGCAACCAGAGGGCAAACTCGGGAGCAGAGGCCAAGCTTGCTTCATTTAGGGACCCCGAGGAAAGGGTACCTAAGCTGGCAGTGACTGAGCATTTTTTGCTTCCTTACTATTTGCTGAATTCAAGTCCTGCCTTCAGTTCTGTTTTTCTGGATTCCATTTCTGGCAGATTTTGTGCACTGTGTAGCACCATCACTCCCTCTTGCCAGTCTTTACGTTGAACCCTGCACCCCTCCATTAAGCATTTCTTTTCTACAGCTAGGACCTGTTGAACTTGACACTCTGGATGACCCCCCAGGACCTCTAACTTAGCATTCGTGTCTGGGTGGCTCAGAGCAACTCATTTTTTCTATTACTGACCTAACCATAATTGCTGTAGCTAATCTTAGACCTACTATGTCTGAACTAGTTATCTTTATTCCTTCATACCACCTTTCCTTCCAAAAGAGAAAATGTTGAAGCTTAGTTTTCCATCTTTCCATCTGCAAAGCTTCTCTTTGCACAGGAGGCTGCATTCACAAGTGCTTCCCTACCTCCAACACACTACTGTGTGTGCTATCTTAGCTACTTTTTTCCATTGCTGAGACAAAATATTTGATACCTAAAGAGGAAACATTTATTTAGCTAATGGTTTGTAAAGGTTTCAGTTCATAGACATTTTCAGTTTGCTGGCTCCAAGGCAGTGTGGCATGGCATAGGAGAAACAGTTCATGGTGGGCAGAAGGCAGCAAAGCAGCAGAGCTGGGAAGCAGCAGCAATGGACCACAGCAGCAGTTGACCTCTTTCTATCTCTTCTGTTGCACCCAGGCTACCCACCCAGAGCGGGCCTTCTTATCATCTGCTCCTAGAACTGTGCTAAGCCAATCAGTGAATTAATTTAGTAATCACATGCCCTTGACCCCAGTAGCACACACTCCCGATCCAGCTGCCTCTGAAGAGCTCCACCCGGGACCACGTGAGGCTTTGGGAGGACATCTAGACACAGCCATAGCATGTGTGCTAAACAAGCAGTCTTTCACTGAGCCACATCTCCGCTCCTTTTCAACAACTATTCTTTTGAGGCCTTAAGTTGTCAGACTGGCCTCAAACTTGTGATCATCTTGACTCAGTCTCTCAGGTACCTGGGACTCCAGCTGTGTGACACACTATACCCGGTTCACAGTCACAAGTTCTAGGTGGACAAGAATTTTGGTGACACTTCTTTGCACAGCACAGTACTTACATTTCCTATACTGATTAGTATAAATTGACTCTTGTACATCACTGAACCTGATGCTGGTTTTCACTTGTTTTTAAAAATTGAACTCAGGGTATCAAATCATGACAGGTAAGCACTGGAGCACTGACAACTATTCCTGCAGCCCTCTCTCATTTTTAAACTTTGTATTAAAGAAATTTGTCAACATATGGAAAGGCAGATTACTATTATGAAGAATACCTCTCTATGTCTAATCAGAGTGAATGCGAAAGTACAAAATAGCTTCTCACATTCTTCTTAACCCATGAGGCTCAATTCTTAATTATTTTGAAGTAATTTCTTAGCATTCTCATTCCCAGATTTGGGTTTAGTTGATGCTGAGGCTGCATGGCTTCTCTTTCGCTTCTTGACGGCAGCTGCCCTTTTCCTCTTCTAGGTTGTGCTGTGTTCCCGGTCAGCCCAACAGCTGAAGGAACTTCTTACGGTAATGTGTACAAAGAGGCCAGCAAGCATGGTGTGGATGAATTCGTCATCTTAGGTGAGGTTTGGAAACTCGTTGGAGGTGACTGGCGGCCTTCTCCTCCCCTTCATGCGCACGGGCTGACGTGTGTCACACACAGTACCACGCACTCAGAGAAGCTCGCCCCAAGACCAGATTGTGTCTCTGACATTAAAAAATAATTGCTGTTCTTGTTTCAGATGTCTTCATAGCTGGTTTCTCATCTCACTTAGGGAAGTGAGCAAAAAGCAGATGCTCACTGTGATGTTTGTCTGTTTGGTATCTCAGTTACATTTTGAGGACATTTCAGATGAAATCCTACCTTTGGTGATAATCTGTGGTCTCTTGAAGTTGTCGGTAGTTAATTTACTCCTGGCAAATCTGGATTTGCAGTTCAGAAGAACCTAAAATATGGGTTATTGCATAATTGGTTCTTTCTGGGATGTACAGCGCTATTTTTGTGTTCTTATAAATCGGCTATGAGACTGGGCATGGTGGTGTGTGCATGCCAGTAACCCCAGCGTTTGGGAGGCTGGAAGAAGGAGGATCACTATGAGTCTGATCTGTGTAGTGAGAGCCTGTAGACGCTGTGCTAAAATACATAAAAAAGAATAGAAAAATAAATGGGCTACAATTGACTAAAACAGACTGCAAGCCTCACTACCCATTTTTTTCGTTTTCCTGCAGGACTTGAAGAGTTTAATGACATCGGAGAAACCCATAGCTGCTCTTGCAGCTCATTGACAAGGTATTTGTTGTCCACATATAGCTACTTGTTGATCCTCTGAGCACACTGGTGCCTTGAGTCGGGTCATCCAGTTCTAATGAGGGGAACAATAGAAATCAAATCCCCCCTCCATATTTGCAGCTTGGTATTGCTATAGCAAAATGCCTGAGACAACTAACTTTTAAAGGGAAAAGTTTTATTTAGCCCTTCTAAAGGGAAAAGTTTTATTTAGCCCACTGCTTGGGAGTTCAAAGTGATGGTAGGGGACCCATTAACCCATTAGCTCGATCATGGTGAGGGCAGTTGGGGTGACATGTCGTGGATCAAGTGCAGAGGGTTGCTCAGATGGTCATCCAGGAAGGAGGTGACCTTCCTGGTGACATAAGCACCTGCCACTAGGCCCTCTTCCCAGCAGTTCCACCATCTCACAACTGGGATGGTGCTACATGTATCCTAGCCATGCATCCCCAAAGTTTCTGCAAGGTTCAATAGTGTACAGAAGGGCTCGCTATGTATTTTCATTTAGTTATCGTAAGTCAGCCAGGCAAGATTCATGCTGTCTATTTATTTATTTTAAACTCTATTATATAGAGAGCTAGCATATAACAGGATGTTCACACAGGATGTATCACATGTCACAACACTATTAGATAACAGAAGTAGGCTTCCTTCCTTGCACCAAGGTCTTCCGACTTTAAATCCATTGCTCTTTTTGCCATACCTCCAAGTCTTAGTATCCTGATAAAGGATACTTGCTCTATTAATTGAGCATGAGGAAAAAAACCATTTTGCACAAGACACCCAACCAACAACTGATGCTTGCTTTCTGCTAACAGCTTCTTGAGTAATGTGGACAGGTGAACAGTTGATGTCCTGAGGAAAGCCCTGAACATAGTGTGCATGTATGTAGTTCCTACTTTTTATGTCTTATATTTCAGTGTTACTTATGACCCAGACTTCAATTCTGCTGAGCGATTAGCCAGAGAGTTGTACCGAGTATTTCGGAAGTCCTGGAAGGTTTCCCAAGTGGGTTATCAGCTGGCAGCTTCCCTGAAGGCAGCCAGCTCAATAGTAAGTATCAAATAAATGGAGCTTGAATCAGAAGTTCCTAAAATCTCACCGGGCTTGGCCCTTTGACTTCAGATATTCTTCCTTGTATGTTCTCTGGGTGTTGGGGAAAACTCAAAATAAATTTCTTTTTTCTTTTTTGGCGGAACCGGAGATTGAACTCAGGCACTTGCACTTGCCAGGGAAGTGCTTTTTCCACTGAGCCATCTGAGCCATCTCCCCGGCCCACAAAATAAATTTCAAAGGCACATACTGACCACTTACGATACCAGGGAATGTATTGTGTGGTTCAAAGTTCAGTCCTTTACTGTATCTTATTGGTAGACACTTTCATCACTTTTATTTCAAAATTTGGGCCCAGACCTCAGCAGGGTTGCTAAGAAGCAGAGCAAGTGTCATGGCTCAGGTGTTGATTTGGTAATTAACTCTTCTTCCCTCGGAGGATGTGCTGCCCTCTGGAAACATGCAGCAACAGGATCGAGGCCTTTGTGACAAAGGATGAGGGCAGCCCAAGACGTTCCGGGCATGTGGGGGAGGGAGGGTTTAATTTTATCAGGGAACTTGGGAAATCTGATTGGAAATCTCAGAATTTGAGATCAGTTTTGGGTGAGACAGCATGGTGGCAGGTGTTCTTGGCAGAGGGCAACAGAGACAAGTGGAGGGGCCCTCCTGCCTCTTGGGCAGTGACTTCCTGCAGTGGGACACCACCTGTCTGTGTGTTTCCATGAGTGGTTAAACTGTGGCGGACCTGAGATGCTAACTTGAGGAATGACAATGGAAAGTATAGTGTTTCAGAGTGAGACCACCTAATAGCAATGGGCAAGTAGCTGCTTCTCAGAGCCGGGGCCACAGTAGAATTCCAGCAGGCAATATCTGCTGATTTCTTCTCTGAAAGGCAGTGGCTTTGTGTGTGTGTGTGTGTGTGTGTGTGTGTGTGTAACTGGAGGTTGAACTCGGGCCCTTGCGCTTGCCAGGGAAGTACTTGTTTTACTGAGCCATCTCCCTAGCCCCAAGGCAGTGGCTTTTGTTACTTGTGAAATAATTGCAGTTCCAAACAATCTAATTGTAGTAAGTTCAAAGTCTGGAAGCAAACTAAAAATACAAAGAAAGACAATCTTATCTGGCTGCTGGAGGACTCTTGCCATGTTCTTTATTCCACTGAAAGCAGTTTCAACTTCTCACAGTAAATTTTAGAAAACATATTTGAATTTCTTTCTTATTTAAACTCTTTAAAAATGCTTATTTAAGGTATCCTCAAATCCCTTTATGTGTTTTGCAGGTTGTAAATGAAGAGAATGTCCGAAAAGACTTTGAATCCAGTATGGATGTTGTACAGGAAATTAAACTTAAGTCCAGGATCAGAGGAACTGAAGATTGGGTGCCCCCTAGATTTCAAATCATATTTGATATTCATCCACCACTCAAGTAAGTATGGGCTGCTGCCAGGAGCCCAGTGTATTTGAATTAGGTGGGATGGGTCGCACCTGATTCTTCATGGAAGTAGAGAAGAGGAAAAAATAATATCCTGAGCAGGCGGGTGAAAATTTATTTTAGGAAAAGGAAAGTTCTGTTTTTCTGGCTTAGTTTCCGTGGCTCCTTGTTTTTCCAAGGCTTCAGGGATTTTACAAGTTTTGATAAGTGGAGAACGTGACTGTGCATCTCTGATTACAAACATTAGATAGCAGCTGAGAGCTTATAGTATTAGAAGGGATGCTTAAGTGGCCATTATTGAAACTGAAAAATCAAACACAATAATTTAAAAATATCAGCCCAGTAGGAATTTCTGCCACGTTCCGGGAACCCCCAGACCCAGTACTAGCCCAGGCCTGGTGAGTGTGTGGGAGAGCTTCTGGCTACCCTGCACCGGCGGGACCTATTAATGGTCCAGGCCCAGGCGCAGTGTGGGTGAGACTCTCTTCCACCCCCTTGGGATGCCTCCAACCACTCCACAGCACCTCCCCCACCCCACCCGCCCAGTAGGAATTTCTGCCATGTTCTGAGAACCCCCAGACTCAGTCCTAGCCCAAGCGCGATCTGCACTTGAACTTCAGTACTTGCTAAGGTTATAACTACAACAAAGATCTACAACAAAGGTGAGAAGACAGTGCTACACAAAATGACGAGAAGGAACAAAATGCAACCTCAGAA